AAGCCCTTACATCCCCATTCATCTGCCCTCTGTGCTCCTCAGCCAGACTGAGGAATGCAGCAAACTGCATTTCCCCCTCTGTTCCTAACCAAGTGGAACAGCCAGCAATGTTCCTGAACAAATTTGGGGGAAGGGGAGAAGCTTCAGCCTCCCTCCCATTCCTAAAAGGCATCCCAGGGGGCAGGATTGGAGGGGGTGCATGCCCCCAGCTAGCCCCTTTCACTTGCCTGGTGATTCTTTTTTCTATGGTTCCTGAGAAGCAATTCCATTTGCACATCCCATTGTCCACACACAACCAACCCCGACCTTGCTTTAAAGATAGGATAAGAGAAAGCTGCCTACCAAATTTGGTGGTCCTAGCTCCTACAATTTAGGAGGAGTTCTTGAATAGGCAGGCAGACACACAGACAGACTCTCTCAAATATATAGTGGATGAGCAGAAAAGGGAAAACGACAATTTTAAAAAAAGATGTCTGAAAATAGTTGGTGTTTATAACCCCCTTTCACCCAGAATCACTTTTACAAAGTGCGGTCACATTTTCTTCATTGACCCACATGGCTGTTCTCCCTTACAACTGTGGCACTTGCATCAGATTTGGGAATCGCATGTACAGATCAGACACAGAGCCAACACCCATTGATCTGAAGTCAATAGAAAGACTTGTGTTGACTACTTCTGTAATTTGGGATCATACCCCAAACTATGGTGTGTGATACTAACAATATTGTTACATGTTTATAAAATGCTCTTCTCTGTGGTATCTGAGCATGCACCCAGGGCCGAGTTGAGTACAAAAGGAGAATATGGCTGTATATTGTCTGCATAGCGTAGTAAAGACACGGGAGTTATGTCAAATACCCAGAAGAAAGAAGGTTACTATAAAGGATACTAGATCCAGTTGAAACAAACTGGATAACATATTTGAAAGATGAAGAGGGAGCTTCGGCAGGTTGCAAAATTACTACAAAAGTTGGCATTTAGCCAGACAATGCATGCTCGCATAGTTTTTCCTACAGAAAAAGTCCCTAAGGATTTTTTTAATTGCTCTGTACTGATTTCCATAAACCCTAGGTGACATTTATTTTCCCATAAGAACATTTGTTTATTGATAAAAATCGAAAGTTGAGAATCATTAAAAAGGGATAAAGAATAAGACCGAGAATATCTCATTGACTCTCTATAAATCCATGGAACACCCACATACTGAATGCTGCATGCTGATGTGGTCACCTTATCTCAAAAGAGATATCTTGGCATTTGAAATAGTTCAGAAAAGGGAAACAAAAATAATTAGGGGTTTGGAACAGCTGCCATCTGAAGAGTGATTAAAAAGACTGGGACTTTTCAGCTTGTAAAAGAGGAGACTAAGGAGGGCTCAACCAGTCGATCACGAGGCATTCAGGGGCCCCTCATTTTTCCCTACCCCCAAGAAGCCCCACTGACACGACCTCCTGTGACAATGGAGGTAGTGCTGGCTTCCTGCATGCTGGGGGGGCTGAGCGCCAGTTCTGGGGTCTCAGGAAGTGTGTGGGCTGCTCCCCCTCCCCCAGACAGCCAGCACATTTCCTGAAGCCGGATCTGTGGTGCACTGAGGAATTCCTTCCCCTGAAGGGGGGAAGGGATAGGTGTCCTGGGAGGATGCGCATGCAGGGGACTTCCTTCCCCTATAGGGAGGGGAAAGGGGGTAGAAGTCCTGGGAGGAGATGCATGCTAGGGACTTCCTTTCCCTGTATGGGGGAGGGGTAGAGTCCCAGGAGGAGACGCATGCCGGGGACTTCCTTCCCCTGTGGGGGTGGGGAGAAGGATAGGAGCCCCAGGAGAAGGTATGCGCCGAGGACTTCCTTCCCCTGTTGCCTTCCTGCACATGGAGGAGAGGAGTCCCAGGAGGAGGAGTGCACGCACACAGGGGATTCCCTGTCCTCTGCCCCAGCACCCACTGGCACCATCTCCTACCCCCACCAGCACTCTGCCTCAGCTCCCACCAGCAACCTGTCCCCTTCCCCAGCACCCTGTCCCCTGTCCCAGCACACATCAGCTTCCTGACCCCTGTCCCCACCAGCACAGTTGAGGCCACATTAGTGAATCTTGGGTTTTTTTTGGAGGGGTTGGTTTTCTTTGCATCTCCCTTGTGTGACCCACAGAAAAAAGTCAGTTGGAGCAAGTGACCTGTGACCCAAAACAAGTTCCCTGCCCCTCTCATAAATAAAGACAATGCTGAAACTTTTTGTATTTGACATAATATTTTATTTAAAAATGAAGCCTGGCCAACAAGCCCCCATCTGGCCACAGCATCATAACATTCCTGAACCCCCCTCTACCCCAAATCTGAGCCTATCATACACTGGAACTCCCTGTCCTGAGCCTCTCACATCCCCAAACTTCTGCACTTCCACATCCTGAGTCTTCTGCCAGAACACTCCTGCACCATCCACACACCAGAAATCTCTGTGTCCTGAGCCCATCATACTCTCAACCTTCCTGCCCTAGCCCCTCACACACTCAAACCCAAGCTCCTGCTCCTTCATACCCCAGCACCCCAACCCTCCACCTGACCCCAACACTCCCCAGCCTGGAGCCCACTCCCCGAGCCAGCAGCCCCTTCTCTACATCCTCCTGCATCCAAATTTCTTCACAGAGCTTGCACCTCTCACCCCTTCCCACACCCAAATCCCTCATTCCCACCCCAGAGCCCACACCTCGTGTCTCAACCCAATGAGGATACGGCTAGACTACAAAACTCTTCCGCGTCCAGGGATGCATTTCTTCTGCTGCTTTTTTTAGCGAGTGGGTATGGAGGGTGGGGCAGGAGGGACGGGGGGGAGGGGAAGAAGTGGGAGGGGGAGCAGGAGTGGGAGAAGGAGCGATAGCTGGGGCGACCGCAGGGGCTGGAGCAGCAGAAGGCAGCAATTGGTCCGCCAGGGGCTGCAGGTGCTCGCGGAGCACATGGCCCTGCTCCCTCAGCTCCCAGAAGCTCTCCCACTGCAGCTGCAGGTCCTCTTGCACCCACTGCTCCTGGCTGTGGACCTGCCGTGTCTGTAACCGCAGCTGCTGCCTCTGGTACTCCTCCTGGTTGCGGGTGCGCCTGCTGGCCTGTGTGCGGGTGGATGTTCCAGGTGGGGTGATGCGCCCTGCACTCGCAGGTGCTGCGGCTGTGGTGAAACAAGAGAAGTGGTCAGTTCTCCCTGGGGACACAGTGGGTGAAACCCAGCCCCCCTCTGCAGGGCGAGGATGGCAGGTCTCCACACCGTCATGTCCTGCCGTCCCCTGGAGTGTGAGCTGGCCCAGGACTGCACCCCAGCCCCTGTGCTGCCTATAGTGTGGAGTGTGGGGGGGGGGTGGAGAAGAGATGTTCCCTGCCTCTGCGTAGAGGGGGCGTCTGGAGGGAGGGCAGTGTGCAGTGTCTTTCCCCGGGGTCAGGAACCTGTCATGTGCCTGCACGCGTAGACGCGTGTGGGGAATAGGCCAGAGCCCCTGCATGGCACCCAGCTGGGGCCACATGTCCCGTCTGGCACGGCAGATGCACAGGTTGCCACATGCTCCATGGTCAGCAAGGCCCACGCGCACGGTCCCTGGGCTCCCCTCCTCCTGCCGCCCTGCATAAGGGGACCGTGATGTCACTTACATGTGGAGGCCTCCACGGCCTTGGATGAGGCTGCTGACAGGCTCTCTGGTTCAGCTTGGGGGTCCCGGGCGCAGGGCACACTCCCTGCAGGCTCCTGGTTGCCATCCTCCTCTTCTTCCTCCTCTTCCCATGTGTCAGGGGCAGGGCCCTCTGCCCTGGGGTCAATGACGATGAGGGGGGCACGGACTATCTGACCCCCAGGATGCGGTCCAGGGCCTCATACTGCAGGCAGGCCTCCGGGTCAGCCCGTGGTTGGGAGGCCCTGGCATAGGCCTGTCACAGTTGTTTAATTTTGCTCCGGTTCGCATGTGGCCTTTGGTGATCAGGCTGGCAGCTATCCTGCCCTAGACGGCTACTTTCCTGTGCCTAGTGCCGAGATCGTGGACATTGGAGGTTTCCCCCCAAACCTCAATGAGGTCCACGATCTCTGCACTAGACCAGGCAGGTGCCCGCCTTTTATGGCCCCTGGCAGACTCCTGGGAACCGCCACCTTTTTCCTGGGGAGCGGTGGAGGGCTGGGTGGCAGCGGGTTGCTGGCTTATGCTGTGCCAGGTGCATGGTCTGCTGGCTGTGTAGACGCTATTAAAGTTACTTCAAAATAACGGCTGTTATTTCGAATTAACTTTGTAGTGTAGACATACCCAGAGGGCGCATCACTTGATGATTATGTATTCTGTTCATTCCCTCTGGGGCACCTGACATTGACAAGTGTAGGAAGACTGTGTAGTGGGCTAGATGGTCCTTTGTCCTGACCTAGTGTGGCCAATCTTACGTTTTTATATAAAAAGGGTTATTTATCATAGATAGGACAGGAAAAGGGGGAATTCATACTTTTGGCGAGTAGTAGTGAATTACTTACCTGTTCAAAAGGCTCAAGTGTCTTTAAAATGACATTTGCTTGGTCATGGACTGGACAAAAGTCTAAATTAGGTAAGTGCATTACAGAGATTTAAAAATGGAAATATTCGCTCTCCCCCACGGGCCTTCTATGTAAAAATTGAAGATACCCATGATGCAGAAGTGTTCTCCATACCGCACCTGCTTCTGTTCATATTTCATCTATATCCACATTCAAATTTACAAGAAGCAAGGTATGTTTAAAAAAAAAAAAAGCAGTGTCTAACAAACGATTTGATGGGGTGTGGAAAATGGGAAGTGCAGAGCACGGGAAAACTCTTGCCGGGAAACTCATGTGACCTTTGAATGTCTTAAAACCACAATATTAGTCCCCAGGAAATGGGAAAGGAAATTGAGTGCATATTTGGAGTGTATAAAATCAGGAGCTCCATCAAGGTGAAGGCATTCAGATCAGTCTTTTTTTGCCACTTGTGAAATCGAACTAATAGCTGGACCACAAGAAAGAAACTCATCTCAGAAATGAAGCTACTCACAGCAGTCTTTTTCCAAGCTCTAATTGCCAGCATCCAACATGCCAGCTGCCAGCTCTCTGAAGAAAGCTGCACGAACCTCTCCAATCAGCTGCTCCGGCAGCTCAAAGCCCTGAGGATTGCATTTGCTGAAATTAAGGATTATTTTGTGAGTATGACACCTGTCAAAACTACCACCTTCTGTCTACTGCTTGTGTGAATTCAGTGATTTGGCATATCCCCATGGAGGAGGCAGGTTCCTTCGCTCAGAAAAGGCTCAGCTGCAAGCACACTCTGTTTTGGGTTCGGTGCTGGGAGTGAAATAAGTAGTTTAGTTTCATATCTTGCTAAGGGGAGAGAAAATAATTTCTTTTATCCAGATGCAGCTGCGGAAAACTCAGCAGCTTTCACAGTGAATTGTACTGCATTTTAATTTTTTCAATATTGCATTTAAATTGTTTCCTTTGCTGACAGAGATAAATTCAACTCATATGTAAGTGGGTGAAGTTAATGATGGATGAGATGGAAATATTTCACTATAGCTTTCAAGTTGTAGCTTAATATTTGTTCTTTAACACAACCAGAGCAAGAACGAAATTATTTTTTGTCTAGAGAACTTCATGCCCATTTCCCTCTCCTCCTGCCTGGGAATACTGTCTGTGGATAGGTTGCAAGGAAGAATTACATCTTTGTGGTGGGAGATGTATGTATTGAATGGGTCTTGCTCACAGCTGAGCAAAGCAGTCATACGTAACATTTGTAATTGTATTAGAAAAAATATTGCCTTGAATGCCTCTAAACTGCAATATAAAAATCAAAAGGCATTATTTCCTAGTTATATAAAAAATGGATCTGTCTTCCCCCTAGGTTAGATCACCAAATAATGTCATCAGGTTTGTATTATCAGTCAAATTAACATGACACATGGTAGGTGGATAGGATTTAAGACTTTAAATCAAATTTTCCTACCAGTCTCTGAGTAACGTGCTGGTAACAGACCCTCAAATAGACCTGTTACTATCCATCACCGTAATTTTGGGCACTCTTACATGCACGCTATCAGAAATCAAGAGAAAGTAAGTGGGGTATGAAATGTAGGTTGTCCACCCACACGTGTGATTTGATTTGTTCCTATCTTTTGACTTAAAGCTAAGTTCATAAGATTATCAAAGCCAAATATGGGACTTTGTATCAGAGGCTTTTATTTCTAATGTTTACTTTAAAATGACAACACACACATGTACTGGCAAAAGTGATAGTTTGATTAACAGAAATACTTACACACAGTAGAAATGTAGGTTTTAAAGGCTGCCTGCCTTTGTAAAACTGACATTTATGTTGCCTACTTTTACAGCAAGCCAAAGATGATGAACTTGACATCTTGTTGCTAAAGGACAATTTACTGGAAGATTTCAAGGTAAGGTGGAACTTTTCTGTATATGGTGAATCAAATTCTAAGTTAATATTCCATTCTAAGAGAGGCAGCTTGAAGCCTTATACAAAGCTTAGGGTGTGTGTATCAGAGGCTTTTATTTCTAATGTTTACCTTAAAATGACAACACACACATATACTGGAAAAAGTGAGTTTGATTAACAGAAATACTTTCACATGGTAGAAATGTAGGTTTTAAAGGCTGCCTGCCTTTGTAAAACTGACATTTATGTTGCCTACTTTTACAGCAAGCCAAAGATGATGAACTTGACATCTTGTTGCTAAAGGATGATTTACTGGAAGATTTCAAGGTAAGGTGGAACTTTTCTGTATATGGTGAATCAAATTCTAAGTTAATATTCCATTCTAAGAGAGGCAGCTTGAAGCCTTATACAAAGCTTAGGGTGTGTTAAAACTGGTACAGTAATATGATAAAAATACAATGCCCAGTTTCATTATATCTTTGCCTGTCTGGTTTCTATCCTAGTCACTCCCTATGAGCTTGCTCTGCTTCTGGTTTCATGCTTGGTTTGGGCTACTGGTCAGAGCACAGAACTGGGAGCCAGGAACGCTGGATTTCCAGGGTGCTGATGCTATCTATGGGCTCCGACAAATAGCTTCACCTCCCTACAGCTCAATTTCTCCATCTGTAAAGCAGACACAATAATTCTTCCTTACCAGTCTCACATGATGGCAGCACAGCACTATGGAAAGCACTAAGAAAAAACTTTTACCTACATTGTATAACCCATAGAACCAAACCTCTGGTCAGCGATGATGACAGAATGACAGATTCTGACAGATGTTTATGCTGAATCCTCCACTTATGGAGGCATGTCATTCATGCATTACTCTCCTCTTCCGCAAGGGCTATTTGGGCTGCCAATCTGTGTCAGACACGATCCGGTTTTACCTGGAGGAAGTCTTACCAAAAGCAATCAACAGCAGCAAAGACGTCAAGCGGAACGTGGGCACTATTGGCAACATGCTGCTGGACCTCAGGAAGACACTGAAGCGTTTTGTGAGTATCGGCGCCTCCTTTCGCAGTTCCTTGCCAAGATCCCAGAGAGCTGGAGTCAATACACGTATCCCAGGCAAAGCTGCAGCGTGAAACCTCTGCAGTTTCTTGATGGAGAACTTCTGAAAAGGACTTTGCTGCCTGGAGGGCTGCAGACCAGGCCCACAGTGAGAGAAGGATCCACAAGTCCATCAGTACTGTGACTCAAGAAACAGATAAGGGTGGTGGTACAAGGGAGGAGGCCTACACAGACCCTATCCAGCCACCTTCTATCTGTGAGTTGTATCATCAAGATTCAGCTGAAAAATTTTAGGCATAATGCTTTATTTCTAAATGCCAGCCAGCAGCCCCTGTAATAAACACAGATCACATATGAACTGAAAACGGAAGATGAATTCCATGTTGGTGAAAGCTCCCAAATAGATGATCATTGGAAAGCAAGATCTTCTGCCTGAAGAACAGAGAACAGGTTCATTGTGCTTAGCAGTAACACAGGCATCCCCGCCCTCCCTCCCCCTCACCTGCCCCAATGACATGTCTCCTCTCTGACGTGGAGGAAGGAACATTTGACCCTCCAAAGCTTGTTCAGTCCTGGCTTCTTTGCTTAGCCTGCCCAGCAAACTTGCTCTTGCCTATGATGGGTGGTTGGGGTTAGTTTCTTTAAGCGCAGAAGGAACTGGACTGAGCACCATCAAAACTCATTTCACAAATAGGTGACCTAAGAGACATCAGATGGTGTCAATTTTGGGGGTCCATTACCCTGCATATTGTATTGCTATTTACACCAGTGTAAAGCGGATGTAAAGAGCCAACACTGTGGAGAGGTAGCAGATCTAGAGAGGTGATTATTTCCTTTTATTCAGCATCAGTGAGGCCACAACTGGAGTATTGTGTTAAGTGCTGGGACCCTGTAGGGGTAAACTGAGGCAGTCCATGGTATCTTGCTGAGAACTGAGTACTCAAATCCGAAATCAGTAGGCCAGGCCTAGGAAGCACACAGACAGGCTGTTACCGTGAGCCTGGTTCCCCTGGCATCTACGTTCCAACGGGGCCTCACTCTGATAAGGCCAGGCTGTGCGGTTTTCTCACTGTCGCTTGTAATTTCAGATTAATCAGTTTGGCAGTCCTTCCAAGGACTCTGCCAATGCAAGGAAGTATTCATCTCGCAGTAGACATATCATAATTTCAGCAAAACAAAAGTTAACATGTAGCTTGTTAGGAATAATTACCTGTATTAGTGATAATATGTTTAATTGGCAATGGGCGGAGATGCTGTGTAACTGTCTCAGACCATTGGCTTATGTGAATATCTCACTTCTGCTGCTAGAGCAATCAAATCACTTCTCCTCCGTCCATCTGCGACCTATATAATCTAATGTATGTTTCGGTTAAGTTTGGCCCGCCACCAGCTGTGTGAACCCACAAATCCTCAACTTGTTTTCACCTTCACCCAGTGTGTCCGGAATTATTCCCGACAGACCCCATTACAGGAAGGATGTGGACACATTGGAGAGGATCCAGCAGAGGGCAATGGAAATGATTAGGGGGCTGGAGCACATGACCTATGAGGAGAGGCTGAGGAATTTGGGCTTATTTAGTCTGCAGAAAAGAAGAGTGAGGGGGGATTTGATAGCAGCCTTCAACTTCCTGAAGGAAGATTCCAAAGACGATAGAGAGAGGTTGTTCACAGTAGTGATGGATGCAGAACAAGGAGCAATGGTCTCAAGTTGCAGTGGGAGAGATCTAGATTGGATATGAGGAAAAACTATTTCACTAGAGTGTGGTGAAGCACTGGAATGGGTTATCTAGGGAGGTGGTAGAATCTCCATCCCTAGAGGTTTTTAAGTCTCGGCTTGACAAAGTCCTGGCTGAGTTGATTTAGTTGGCATTGGTCCTGCCTTGGGCAGGGGGCTGGACTTGATGACCTCCTGAGGTCTCTTCCAGCTCTATGATTCTAGGACAAAGTCGCAGAGCTCTGTAACCAGTGTGCAGTGCTGTCGTTGGGTATGGTGTTCCTGATGGCCTATAATCTGTCTTCATGTGGAATGTTGGTGTAAAGGCTTCTATGTCCATAGTGGCCAGGATGGTATTTTCAGGTAGATTACTGATGTTTTGAAGTTTCCTCAGGAAGTCAGTGGTGTCGCAGAGGTAGATAGGAGTGCTGGTAGCATAGGGTCTGAGGAGGGAGTTGATATAGCCAGATAATCCTGTAGTAAGTGTGCCAATGCTTGATATGATGGGTTGTCCGGGATTTCCAGGTGTGTGTATTTTGGGTCACAGATAGAAAGCTCCTGATTAGGGGTGCGTTAGTGTAAATTTGTTCCTGAGCTCCATCAGGGAGCTTCATGAGCAATTTGTTCAGGTTTTTTTTGGCATTCCTTGAAGAATTTCACAAAGATTTCAACAACTTCCACCCCACCATCAACCTCAGCCTGGACCAATCCAAATGGGAAATCCACTTCCTGGACACTACAGTACAATTAAATAATGGATGCGTTTCCACCACCCTATCCTGGAAACCCACTGACTGCTACACTTACCTTCATGCCTCCAGCTTCCATCCCAGACACATTTCTCAATCTATTGTATACAGCCAAGCCCTAAAATACAACCAGATTTACTCCAATCCCACAGACAGAGACAAACACCTACAGGATCTTTATAGAGCATTCCTAAAACTGAAATACCCACCTGGAGAAGTGAAAAAAACAGATTGACAGGGCCAAAAAAGTCCCCTGACATGAACTACTTGAAGACGGGCTCAAAAGAGAAAATAACAGAATTGTTATTACCCACAGTCCACAACTCAAACCCCTCCAATGCATTATACACAATCTGCAACCGATCTCGGAAAATGATCCCACACTCTCAGAGGCCTTGGGGGAAAAGCCTATTCTCGCTTACAGAGAACCCCCCAACCTGAAACAAATTATTTCCAGTAACCATGCTACACAGATACATCATAAGCATCCAGGAATCCAGCCCTGCAATCAGCCACGGTACCAACTCTGCCCACATAGCTATACAAGCCAATTCATTACTGGAGCCAACAACATAAGCTACCAAATCACAGGCTCATTTAACTGCACATCCAGTAATTTGATCTATGCCGTCATATGCCAACAATGCCCCAGTGCTATATATATTGGACAAACTGGACAGTACCTACAGGAAAGAATCAATGAACACAAATCAGATATAGATAAAAGGAACATACAGAAACCTGTTGGGGAAACACTTCCATCTACCTGGTCACACTTTAAAAGATCTCCAAGTGGCTGTCTTGTTACAGACCAATTCTACAAGCCAAGTACACAGAGCAGGCTTGGAATTACAATTCACCCACAAAAATTTAATTCTCACACCTTGAGATAATGGATGGCTAGGACATTATCAACCAAACAAACAATGAAGGTGCCAACAGCTCTGTGTAGATTCTTGTGCTAGTACTCTTCCTCTCTACTTGCTATCCTTTGATCCTTATCTGCTTCTTTTAACTATCCAATCTTTAGGTGCTTATAGATTACCAGTGTTGCCTGTTTGGTTTTCCCTTTGATATTCACATACCCTCTGCTTCTTGTTTCCCGCCCCCTTCCATTTTTTCCCTTCCCCCCTCTCCCTTCTCCCCTATTTATTTTGGGTCTGGGTATCTAAACTCAAAACTCCAGTCATCTGAACAAGTGGGCTGTGCCCACGAAAGCTCATGATATTGTTGACATGTTTTGTTTGTCTATAAAGTGCTACCAGACCATTTTTCGGTTTTTTAAGTTTATCCAATCCCACTAGATAGCACTAGAGGGCAATAAACTATCAACCACAGTTGGAGAATGTAAGGTTCTGTTTTGTCTAAGACGAGGGAAATTTGAATACTTCCCATAGAGATGTGCTGCATCGATGCCAACGAGGCTTGCTCTGGTAACCAGACTCAATCAGAGCAAGGGCCTTATGCCACTGGAAATTCTCCTTATCTGGACAATCCCTAGGGGCCAGCTCCCAAACCCGGTGTTTGATCTGAGTAGCTAGGCAGTGAATGGCATAGATGTGTGATGGGGGGAGGAAGATGGAAGTAACTCTCCCCCCCTTCCCAATACAGCTGCTGGAGAAGCTTCCTTCCCCGGTGATTCGTGTCACCCTCTTGGACACTTACTTGGTCCTGGCTGGGACCACAGGACTGCTGAAAAGCAGCGAACTCACAGAGCTATGCAAAGCATCGAAACCTAGAATAGAGATTAAAATAAGATGCCGAACATGATAGGGCACCTGAGATCGGTCCTTCCCCCACCTGCGCCGTGCTCTCAGCTGCCTACACATGCACACGCAAAACTAGAGTGTCATTACTGAAATGTGCACTCTTCATTTCCCTTCTAGCACTGCGTCAGTCTCAAATTCTCCTCCGTGTCATTTTCTTTGATGTGTCCAGAGTTTCTTTCTTTTCCATGAAGCATTCACCTTGCTAGCACGGCTGTCCTCCTCTGGAAACCACTCCTCCTGCTCTGGCAACCTACCCCCTTACCTATCGAGATCATCTCTCCACAGTCATCTCCGATTAGCGTAGTGACTAAAGTGTTTATCATTCAGTGCCATCAGCGCTGCAAAGCAAAACAAGCTGCTGCAGCCGCGTCACTGTGAAAATGGCAAAAGCAGCGTTACAATTATGTCGGCAAAAATAATTACAGTCATTGTAGAAAAAGGCCAGGTTTCTACATAATGAGTGACTGAATGAGCGGAGGACGAAGAACCAAGCAACCTTGTTGCATAGTAGGAAAACAGACTCCCACTCAAGAAAAGAGAAAGACACCTCAGTTCACAGAAATTCAATAGTAGAGATGAACATAGCTCCTACTCAAGTATTTATGTCAATGGGATTCTGTATAAGGGATCCAAGCACGCAGAGTCCTTTGTGCTAGTGGGAATATAGTCATCACAACCCCCACACTCTACGTTAACCTAACTCTGTTTTATCCTAAACACTTCCATATGTCTTGGTCCAGAGGTGAAAAAATTATATAGGATTTAGGAGCCTCCTATTGACTTCAGTGATACATAGGTTCCTAAGTCACTTTTGAAAATGATGACTAGACTCTTCAGTCACC